TTTGAGTCTCTGTATGGCTGCATCACTCAGTAAATTGTTCATTATATGAAACTTATAATTCATCCCATCAAGCATACATGTAGCTCTATAAACTGCCAAGAGCTATATGAAAGTATATCATGGAATGGACAACACATTCCGGGAATATATTATGTAGTGAAGGTACAACGAGACAGTACTTGTGGAATATATTATGTAGATTGTAGTGAAGGTACAATGGGCACCCCCACCCCCTAAGCAATGCCGCAATATTCAACTTTACAAATTTGATACAAGCAGTTCTCCTGGAATATATCATGTGCATTGCATAAGCTGATGATGGTGCTGAGGTCGCCTTGATGTAATTATTACAAAGTGCAGATTCTTGAACCATTAAGCCTTGAATTATTTTGAAGATGATATTAATCAATCATTGCTATGGCGGTTCAAGAAAATGGGTTTGAATGATCTTTTCGCTTTCTTGAGATTTATGTTTTTATGAAGTAATCTGTAGTTGCCTTCAGAACATGTTGTCTGTTATCTTTTTTGTTATCTTCATTCACATTGCTAATTTGGTGCTCATGTTACAACCATGGGGATTTAAAAAAAAATCTTTTCTCCTTTTGTTTTTGTTTTGTTTTATTTTGTTTATTTTAACTTATTGATTTTTTGCTTTCTCAATGACATTTGATAGAAATGAAATGAAACTGATATATATATTGTTTTTAATAAAAAAATAAAACTATCTATACGTTAGATATGGGTTTGCATTGGTTTAGGTTCTTTAGGAATTCTATGGCTTAAAGTTATGTGCTTCATTATGATTTTGCCTAGTGCTAGGTTTTGGATTGTGGTTGCCATTTTAGATGTTACTGTTGTTTGTGGTGATGGACAAATTTTAGTTTGATTTTATTGCAATGACGATTTTGTTTTGTTAGAACTAAATTATTTGCATTTTATATCTATCATGTGCAGATAAGCAATGGAGATATCAGATGAGACAGTGATTGTCAATACTAGTAGATTGAAATCTGTTGTATGGAATGATTTTGATAGGGTTAAAAAAGGTGACACCTATGTGGCTGTTTGTAGGCATTGCAAAAAGAGACTCAGTGGTTCTAGTACCAGTGGGACATCACATTTGAGGAATCATTTAATCAGCTGTCGGAGAAGATCAAACCGTGACATTGTTCAACTGCTTTCAACAAAGGGAAAGAAGAAGGAAGCAACTCTTGCCATAGAAAATTTTAGTTTTGATCAAGAGCAGAGGAAGGGTGAAATACTTAACCTTGTACATACTAGGAATGAACAAGAACAGACAAATGATGGTACCATTAATGTTGGACATTTTTTTTTTTGATCGGCAAAGAAAAGACTTTATTGATGATAAACACGTACAAAGTATGATAAATTACATCAATAAAGGGGAGCTTGGAGCTAGATTAAGCTCCAACCTCCTAGTTGGTGAGAGACTAACAAAGAAAACCAGGAAGCAGTGAAGACAACAACAAGAGCAAGAAACCGGAGCAGAACAACAGCAACAAGCCAGACCAAAACATCAACAAGTAGACAAAAAACCAGAAGTATGGTTGAGGAACGAATGAGATTAAACTTAGCAAAACCCAACATAGCATCAAAACCCTAGCAAAACCAACAAATACCAGCTCTCAGGTTAACCCCATCAATGCATAATGTAGAATTTCACATTTTGCAAATTGAACACAATATCATCAACTGAGTAGCAAAAAGAAGGGTTAGAAGCTCTAAACCACAATTCAATCCGTATTTTAATAAGTTCACACAACTTTTCCAAATCCACCTGTGTGCCCTTAAAAAGATTTTCATTCTTTTGCTTCCGTATAGACCATAGCACCGCTAATGGAATGACCTTCCAAATCACCTTCAGCCTTTTGTTGTATCTATAACCAGTAGGGATGCAACTCGGGCAGGTTTGGTCGGGTTGGGAGGTTGTCCAAACCCAGCCCAAGTTGTGCTGAGACTTGCCCAGGCCTGAATTGTAACCCGAGGTTGTTTGCCCAAGCCCGACCCGAGTCAAACCCGAATTGCCCGAATTGTAAATGAATTTCAGGTTTGTTTTGTTTTGTTTTTTTTTCTTAGCTACATTATTAAATTATTAAAATTTGACTCTATTTACATTTTTTTTATATAGAAAATCATTAATACCACCAAAACAAATAATTTATATATTGTAAGAGAGATGTCGCTATAGTAGTCCTTACAATTATGAGTGAAAATAAAAAAAAAAGAGTAAGATTTTATGTTATTCGTATATATAATAATATATATTCAACATGATTTAGTAATCTAAATTACTTTAATACCATGTAATGGCTAATAATTTATATGTATATTTAATATTTTTATATATCTATATATGTATAATTCGGGCTTCGGGTTGCTCGGGTTATTTGGCGTTTTTGCCCAAGCCCATCCAAATTTAATTTGGACTTTTGAATTTTTGCCCAAATCCGTACCGAATTCAAAAATATCTTGTTCAAGCCCTAAAAAAAATCGGGCAGGGTTCGGCTTGCTCGGGTTAAGCCCGCCCAAGTTGCATCCCTAATAACCAGTGCACCGTTGAAAAAGGCCAGGCACTAACCCCGGCTGCACCCAAGATACTTCCCACTACCTGATAACATTAGACCAAACTCTCCAACTAAAAGGGCAACATAGCAACACATGAGTGACAGTTTCCATTTCATTATTGCAGAAGATATAGTTAACATCTGAATTAGCATTGAGGACTCGAATTCTTTGCAAATAGCAAGATGTCTTGATCCTCCCTTTCCATGCTAACCATCCAAAAAATTGTACTTTCGATGGGGCCCTATTCTTCCAGATGAAATCCCTAAGTTTGCAGGCAGAGTATAAAGTAATTCAATCCACTTGTATGCAGAAGCAACAGTATACACACCAGACTTTTTTGCAGCCCAATTCAAACTATCTAGCACTCCATTCCTGAGAGCTGGAGTAGTTTGTAACAACTCCTTCAACCTCCTCAACTCATCAAATTCCCACTGAAACAAAGCTCTTCTGAAGGCCAACTCCCGCTCCTTATGTTCATTACTCTTGCTATTTACCATTGCCACTGATTCACCTTTATCAATGGACACAAAGAATAATCTAGGAAATGTATTTTTTAAACACTCATTGCCAACCCACAGATCCAGCCAGAATTTTGTGAACCTCCCATCCCCAATAATGATCTTTGAGTTGGCCTTAAAGAACTCCAGCAGCTCAGGGCACTTATCAGGAACCCCCAATATATCCCTCCACACCATAGATAACTTAGAACTTGCATCATGGTCTGACCACCAAACCCCCCAGTCTTTGGATACTTGCTATAGATCACTTGTTTCCAGAGAGAGCCAGTTTCACACCCAAATCTCCACCACCATTTCAAAAGAAGACAGTTATTCATGATTCTCACCTATCTAATGCCTAGACCCCCATTGCTTTTGCTTTGAATGGTTTCTTTCCATTTTACCAAATGAATTTTCCTTCTAAGTTCATCACCCCCCCTAAAGAAATCTAGACTGTATTTTATCAATCTCCTTGGCTATCCCTTCAGGCATTTTAAACATAGATAAGTACAAAACTAGTAATGATGATAGCACATACTTGATCATTGTCAACCTTCCAGCGAAAGATAAGAGCCTTCTCTTCCAAGAAGCTAACTTTGATTTGAAATTTTCAAGGACAGGTTGCCAAGTCCTTCTTCTCCTTGGATTAGCACCCAATGGCATCCCCAAATATTTCAATGGTAGCCTCCTTTGATGCAAATAATTCAAGATGACAACAAAGTCTTTAGTAAGCTCTTCATTTATTCCAACTCGAGACACTACACTCTTATGATAGTTGATCTTTAACCCAGACAATATTTCAAAACACCTCAATATTCTTTTGATATTAAGCACCTCCTTCCTTTTTGCCTCACAAAATAGAATTGTGTCATCAGCGAACTATAAGTGAGTAATAATAAGATCACTTGAACCAACTGTTGCACCCTTAATCAAACCAGACTGGATAGCTCTATATAGCAGTATGTTAAGATCCTCAGCCACTATATTAAGAAGAAAAGGAGATAATGGGTCACCTTGTCTTAGACCCCTTTGGGGACTAAACTCAGCTGTAGGTGATCCATTCACCAAGATAGAAACTTTGGCTGTTGAAACACACTCCTTCATCCAGTTGATCCATTTTGAGCCAAACCCAAAGTTTGATATCATGGAGAAGATGAACTCCCAATTAATTGAATCATGCTTTCTCAAAATCAAGTTTTAAGACAAGGCCTTGCTTCTGCTTCTTTTTCCAACCATCAACTATTTCATTAGCAACTAGGATACCATCTAAAATGCTTCTACCCCCTATGAAAGTTGATTGAGACTCACTAATGATCTTGGATAATACTACTTTAATCCTACTAGATAAACCTTTGAAGAGCACTTTGTACAATGAACCAATGAGACTAATAGGCCTGAATTCATTGAGACTAGAAGGGTTGTCATTCTTTGGAATCAAAGCTACAAATGAGCTATTAATACCAAAAACCAACTTTGAATTGGTATGGAACTCTCTCATGAACTGCGTCATATCCCCTTTGATTATCTGCCAGCACTTTTGGATCATCATAAGATTAAAGACATCAGGCCCTGGAGCCTTGTTTCTATCACAGTTTTTAATTGCTGCCACTACTTTTGATTCTGTGAACTCAGCTTCCATAGCAACTTGCACCTCTTCACTGCCAATTCATTTAAAAGGACCAGATAAGCTTGGCTTGTTGAACCATGATTCTACAAACTGCCTCTGGAAGTGATTTAGGACTTTAATTCTTATTTCATCCGGATCTTCTTTTAAAACCCCATTAATCTTAATTGAGCACAATGCATTCCTATTCCTTCTTGAGGAAGCCATAACATGGAAGAATTTTGTATTTCTGTCCCCTTTTAACACCCAGTTAACTCTAGACTTTTACAACCATAGCCATTCCACCATTTTACTCAATTTCCATGTTTCTCCTGTACCTCCCTTCGCCTACTTTTCTCTGTATCAATGAATAACTTTTGTTCAGCTGCCAAATCCAAGTCATGTAATTCCTCCTCTAGTTGCTTAAGTTTAAATTCCACCTTACCAAAAACTTCAAGGTTCCATCTTTTCAATGCTACTTTAAGTGCTTTCAGTTTCCTTAAATATTTGAATCTAGCCCAGCCATCTATATGAGATTCAGCCCACATTTTATGCACAAAAGTTTTAAAATTCGGATTGAGGGTCCAGGCATTTAGAAACCTAAATGGCTTTAGGCCCCAATCACTCTTATCTTCCATTAGTAAAATAGGACAATGACCTGAAAGCTTTCTTGGTAAGCCCCATAGTTTAAAGTTAAATTTCTGTAACCAATCTGGACTGAGTAAGAACCTATCTAACCTACTCCATTTGACACCTTCCTGAGAGTTATACCAAGTGAACTTTCTCCCCAACATTGGTATGTCACACACTTCCATATTATCAATTAGTTCATTAAAATCATTCATACCTCTACTCCTTTGACAACAACCCACCCTCTCAGATAATTTCCTTACCTCATTGAAATCACCCCCCAAACACCAAGGGTTGACAAAACTTTTCTTTAAATTCTTCAAAGTTTCCCATACCCCTTTCCTACTGGCACCATCAGTTGGATCATATACATTTACAATAACACAGGCTAGACTTGTATAGAGAGTACTTGATAAAATGATTAAATTTCTATTGCTACAGCAGTCCAGTAGTTGAAACACTTGTGGATTCCAGATGCAGAGTAGTCCACCAGCTGCACCATCTGAGTCCACAGCCATATATGCCATCTGATCTCCAAGCCAACAAGATCTAACAAAATCCTCAGTGATAGTTGGTCTCTTTGTTTCTTGAAATAATGCCATATCCACCTTCCTCTCAGATATAAGTTTTTTGATTTTTCTTCTATAAGATCTTCATTAAAACAAATTTAAAATCCAAGACACCAGGGCAAATACAATTAATCTGCCTTGCTACCCTTTTGACCCAACACCTCCTTATCTTTTTCTTCCAGCTCCATCAATTTACTAAGCACTTCCTCCTCATTACCTTTACAATTCATCCCAAGTATCTTCCCAATTTGTAGAGATGTTTCTGTCTCATTAAGTAGCAGCTGACCACTACCAGATTTGCTTGCCATGGATAAGGAGATTGCTGCAGCTGCCGACCTAAATATAGCCCCTTTCTTGAAGTTCATGATTGATCCAACCCCAATTTGTAAATTTCCTTTTCTCTTCCTTTGATATTTCGCATTCTCTTTTGTGTTAACTTTCTGTTTTGAGCTACCACTACAGTCTTACAATTTACTACACAATGAGGTACCTTTTCAACTCTATCTTGGGCTGTCTTCCCACTACTAGTATGATCTTCACCCTCCTGTGTTGGTTGATTCTTTGGGTCACTTACCATAGATGATCTATGGCCCAATATGTTCCTACACTCTATGACATGGGCCTTACTTAATAGCACTTCAATATTAAGCCCAGGTCCATTTTTCTCAGGCCCACTAAGATTGCTCATAAAACCTGGAGTAACAACTCTATCTTCAACTATCTGGTTACCTTTAGTTTGAATCTGTATAGGGTTTAGCAATGATTTGACTAACTGAGTCCCGCATGCTCCCCTTCTACCTCCAACTTGCTTCTGCAGACAATCCGTCTGGCTTATCGTCATGATAGTCTCCTAAACCCTAGACATGCTTAGCCCTCTATCTTGTCCATCAATGGTTGTATGTTCATCATGTTTTACCCCCAGCCCCCCTGCCTCCTTAGTATCGCGTATGTCCAGCACACCTCCAACCTGGCCCTCTACATCAGCTTCATCTTCACCCTTCTTGCTTCCCACAACAGACCTCTGTTCTTGTTCCTCACCATAGGAAGTTGAATTTTCCCCTTTTTGCTACTCACTATAACATTTGCATTGCTTGTATATCATCTCCGAAATCACCATTTGGTCTTCACAGACTATGACTTGGTTGGTTATCTCCTTGCAACTCAAGGTGATTGTTGTGTTTATGGACTCCATACACTTTGTAGCAATCCTCACTTTCCCACTGTAAAAAGAATTCGTTTTGGTTGTGTCCTCGTCAATGCTTATGACTTCCTCCCACAGCCTCCCGATGCTGCTAAATATTTTGCTGCTCTAGAGATTTAATGGTACTCCATAACAAGTATGTAGCAATCCCGATTTCGACCCTTCTTTCATGTTTTGCCACTTCGATTGGGCATATCGGGGATCGAGCTGCCCGGTCAGCTCGCAGGGGTCCAGGGGGCAGCGCCCCTTGGCGGGGCCAAGGGCAGCACCCTGGTGGGGGTCGAGCTGCCCGGTCAGCTCGCGGGGATCCAGGGGGCAGCGCCCCTCAAAACAAAAATGCAAA